TGAAACGTAATTATTATGTACAATTTTGTGCAATTAATAAAAATTTGATGTGCTAGACTTTTGTCCAGGTAGTGTATTAATGTTGTAATTCTGTTGTGCAGTTGGAGCTGCCGGAAGCGGATCTTGAGAAAGAAGCGGGTATTTATAATCTTGAGGAACGTGATAAAGAGCTGGGAAAAGAGTCAGGAGAGTATAAAGAAGATGAAAATACGAGTAACTAAGCATACCACATTAAAAAGGGACACAATGTCAGAGAATCAATGATATTTCGTTCATTCTTGCATCAAACTCTTTTTATTCATCAGAGGAAAAGTTCCCTTGTTTAGAATGAGGCTTGGATTTCTTCAATGCTGAAATATAATCAGCGATGTTGTCAGTTATTTTTTCGTTCGTTCGATGGACTGCAGTCGTATATAATCAAAGCAGATGGTGTATAGAACAAGCGAGTTGTCATAGTATTAGGCAAGTGATATTATATCGAGACGAGGTAATGACTCATTTGTAGTATTAGATTTATAATTGTTAGGTCAAAAAAAAAACTGGGCCCTAATACTGACTGGTTTTATGATTGTTGGTTTAATTCGATTTGGTGTTTGTAAGCTATCGAATAAGTATTGAGAGCGATGAATGCCAGTAAACCATAACGCTTAATATTAACGTTATGTTAACGTCAACATGCATGTACGTTTAAATCGAAAACGGAATGTCATTATACGTTTATTCGTTGTAAGACAATCGTTACATACAGTATCAGTTTAATATTAAGACGCTTGATTTTCAACCAATAAACGTTTGCAGAAAACCGTACGTTTATGTGCGTCTAGATTAGCGCGTTTAAGCGTTCTGTTTAGTTCCTGGCAAACTTCCAAAACTACAAAAGACTTCGCTAGAATGATGTACAATTACTTCACTGTTAGGAAGATATTCAACACCACTATTGATATCAGTATTTTCACGCTCGTGCACCTGATGACTAGCAAGCGCTTGCAAAATTCAAGCGCTTATGAGCATTTAATTGAGCATTTATTCAGCGTTTACGTTCAACGGAAGTTGGATTAGACAAGCATATTTCCTGATGTACACCACGCTGGTGCTTCTTTCAGAACCTCAATATGTTCTTCTTCCTCACTCAATATATGTCTCTTTTTATGACTTGACTCTATTGTTACAGTCGGCGTATTTAATTAGGGAGATTTGTGGGAGAGCGAACTGTAGGCGGTTCGGCCGACAGGGGGATCTGACTCAAT